TTTTTTTTTTTTTTTTTTTTTTTTTTTTTAGGGAAAAAGAGGAGTGAGAGTGAGAATGGGACTTTATAGCAAAGTCAGAGCCAAGATTTCCTAACAGATGGACAGTGAAATGGTTACAAAATTTACAAGAAGAGAAATTCTGTCTAGACAAAGAACAAAGCTCCTCCCTGAGCATGGTTCAGCACCAACACAGGCACCCAGAGATCTGGGCAGTCTCCCCTTGGAGATGCTCAGGAACAACTGTGGGCAGCTGATCTACCTCTGGGGCCAACCTTACCTCTACAGAGAGCCTGGTGTGGAGGCCACTAGACACCCCTTCTGATCTTTATCCTATTAACCTGTGGCTGTAAAACTATGCAGAGCCCTGTTTCAGGCAGCACAGACGTGCAACACATAGCAATCTCCTTGACAAGAAGAATCAAAAACCCCTGTGGCTTGTTCTAGGCCTTGGTAAAGACTTCCTGTGACACAAACTCCAACATGGCCACACAAGATGGCCCCTCCTGGCTTGCTGTCTAAAACTCATGCAAACAGCACTGGTGTTTGTTGGTCGCAGAAATGCTAAGTCTGTGACACAAGTCAATGCCCAGCCTCACCAGCCTCCCTGCAGTGGATGTCCCATAACACGAGCTACCCAGCACCTAATTTTTTGGAACTCTTGTCAGATCAAGGTCATCTTTCAGCAGAAAAAGCCTCCTATGTTAGGGATTTTGTTTACTTGAGTTTTAACATGCATATCTGTCCTCTCCCTCCCCTCTGCCCCTACACCCACCCCTCCCAAGTCATTCCAGAGAGAGGGACGGGAGAAACTCCTTAGTTCTGCATCATTAAGGCTTCCATGTGTCCTCTACAATAAGGCTTATTCTCCTTTCCAGGTGCTCTGTGGACACCTATTTATTAAAGAACAATTGCGCAGGCTTCAGGGCAGCTGGAGCTAAATTATCCCTTGAACTGCCAGTTGTATCTCTGAAAACGTCATCTAAACAGAATTTGATTTGAGAGCTGAAAGAAAACCAACATTCATTCCCCGCACCCCAATCTCCACTGCTTCTCATGGAAATGCACATTGTAGCTCTGCTGCTGAGAAGATAGCATCTCTTACTGCATTGCTTGTGTAAGGGATAACAAAGTATTTGGGTATTTCTATCACAAAGGAACTGTAACCAAATGTCTGCCACGGAGACAAAGAAAAAGCAGCATCCATGTATGTACCTGTAGTGACCCAAGTGAACATACCAGCGTCATACACATGTTGGGCTGTCAAAGCCAAACTCTTCTGATTTAGAAAAGCCACCAAGGTGAGGCACTGCTTTGAGGCAATGCATCCTCATCACCCCGGTGCTTCCACACGTCCTGCTGTAGGGACGTGGCATTATCTCACTGGCAGTGACTGCTAACAAATTCTTCTCACAATCTGTGGAGGTACACACACACACCTGTTCCCTGCTGTTACAGTACTGCTGCATTTAAATGGGTAACGCACCACCTCCTGCACTTTGTTTCCTTCCGTGAACAAAAAAAAAAAAAAAAAAAAAAGACAAATGAGAGTGAGTGAGGGGAAAACGGGAAGAGGAGATGCTTTAAGAGTATAAAAGCTGAGAAACTGCTTCCAAAAAACCTTCCCTGATTGCTCAGCCATACTGTTTGCAAAATCCCAGCATCTAAAACAAAAGGAAGCAGTGGTTAGGCGTGCAAATGGAAAAAGAAAAAAGAATAATAACAACATGTACCTCGAGCACAAAAATACACTTTCCTCCAAAACCAGAGACATCGTGCAAAACCAATTTTGCAGATGAAGGAGTGGCAAAACGCTGCACGGCTGCAAAATGCAACGGTGCCCGGAGGGGCCAGCTCCATCCCACCCTCCGCCGGCGCCCGGCCGAGCCGAGCCGCACGGAGCCGCTGAGACAAGGCCGCCCCCTACGGGAGCGCGGGCGGAGGAGCAGCTCCCCCCTGCCTGCAGGGGACCCGCATTTTGAGGCGAGGCGAGGGCTCCGGCACTGGAAAATGGAGCGTTTCCCGCGGCCATACCCGAACTACAGCTCCCAGAAGGCAACGGCAGTCCCGCTGCTTTGTGCTGGTCTGCACTGACCGTCCGTGCGCGTGAGATGTGGGACGGGACGCGGGGGATCGTAGGGGCAAGTCTTCACAGAGGTACTTGCAGCTAGGACGCAAGCTATTGCCTGCTGCCGGTATTTGTTCCGTATTTACTGGTGACCCCACCGGAACCAACCCTGTCTCAACACCATTCTCCTTCCCACCATCTTTTCTCTCATGTCACAGCCTTTGTCTTTCCTCGATGAATGCACTCCTTTTCCTGTATTATTTAGTAAAGAGTTAGCAGTGAAATGCCAGTGTTGATTTTTAAGTGTTGTCTTTCAATTTGGAAGTCCGTACTGGGGCTTGGTCAAGGGGTCTTAGGGCTCACTGAACAAGCTGACTTACCTTACTCATCATGAAAGGTGTGGCAGCACAGTCAGGCAAGGACTGAACAGGAGCTCTGCAGGACCTCAGTGTGCCCAAGCACACAAAGATAGCTTTTTCTCTTCCAAAATCTGCAGTTTCATTTTACTGTCACAGGATGTCTAGTGGGCATCTGGCCTGTGACTTGCCCTGGGGTCTGTTAGATCAGTGGCAGGCATGATTAAAATCCCTTGCACATGCAGAAAACTCTCCCATCTGCCCCTCCCTCAATATTCCCCAGCTGGATACGGGACAGACAAGTCTCACTGTGGGACAGCTGTGAAAGCAGGTTGGGGGTTATCTGGGCCTTTCTCTTGCCAACTTCCTCTGCTTGCTTTGGTTGTCCTTCTGCACGATCCTCTTCTTTGATAACAAAATGTCCCCATTCTTCAAATACAGATAAGTGCAGAGAAACATCAGGCCAAGTCAAGGATCTCAGGTGTGAAATACATTTTAATTAAGTTTAGGGTTCTGTAGTTTGTTGCTCTGTTGAGCACTGACTGTCTAGAAGGTGAAGCAGACATTATGGGCAGAAGAGAGAGTGAAGGAGTGCAAGAGGGATGGAAACAGAGAAGAAGGTTAAGATAAGCAAATGAGAGCATGTGTTTTTTTACGACTGTGTTTTAATATATTGCCCCACGGTACTATGTGCTGACCCACAAGATCCCATAGAGCTGCCTAACCTGGAGGCTGACAGCACACGCACACACGGCCAGTGACAAGCAATTGTTCACTCAACACTAAGCTGCTGACAAGCACAGCTCAGCGTGGAACAGCGCTCAGAACAGTAGGAAGGAACGCTTAGGTCCCACCACGTCAGCGCAAATGCACCTGGGGCACAACAATGCTGTAGGCCAGTACACATACACCTACACACACGCACAACGAGAGCGAGCCACTGGTGACGCTCGTTCAAACACAGCTACAAGTGCGACACTTGTCCAAACACACCAGCCGACGCACATATGTTCACTGCACATGCTTCGGCGTACAACGTAAACACGCTGGGCAGCATGCTCCCATAGTCTAATATGTGAACAGAGTGGTTCAGATGCGCACAAGAACAAAAGACACAAAATGCCTAGATTCAGAAATGCTTATGATCCCAAAGCAAGGGACGGGGTGCGGACCACTTTTTCATCCTTCATCTGGGTATATCTAGCCAGGGATACCTGAACTCGTGGGGCTTTGAGGTGAGAGAAAACCAGGTGGTAGAGAAGGGAGAAAGAGCAAAAAAAGGGAGTAGTGAAGAGAAGGAGGGTTCAGAGTCTGTGATGTGGGAAAAAGCTGAAGGGTGTCTATGCCTGGGGGACAACGTTCAAAGAACACTTGGGTTGCGAAAGTTGTGTCCAGCAAAGCGTGCTTCATCGCCAAGCTCTTCCTCAATCCTGCAGGAGAGAGAGACAGCAAAACTCAGGTAAGGCACCAGAGTACCTGAGGGATAACATACGGCCAGGAAGCTGAAAGGGGGCAGAGGGGCTAGCTGCTGGAGGGTGCTGCTATCCCACCATGCCAAGGAGGAGGGATCCAGAGATCTCTACTTTCACCTCTGCAGTTTGCCTTCACATTTCTCCCAACAAACTCCTTCTGCCCTTTGGGTTTCTAGCTTCTCTATTTTTTAGTTACTCTCCATTCTCAGTTGTTTCCTACCATAAGAGCCCCTTACCTCATGAGCTGGTTGTACTTAGCCAAGCGTTCAGACCTGCAGGGGGCACCCGTCTTTATCTGTAAAGGATTTCCCAAAACAAACACTGTAAGACGCCATTATGATTCGCACCGGTTTCCCCAGAGGGAGAAGCAAGAGGGATGCTGCTTCTCACCTCTGCATTTTTCTGCATGCCTGTGCACACCCTAGGTTTCACATACCTGCCCAGTGCACAGTCCTACGACCAGATCAGCAATGAAGGTGTCTTCGGTCTCCCCAGATCGGTGACTCACCATCACACCCCAGCCATTCTCCTGGGCCAACTTACAGCTGCAGGAGCAAGATATGTATTCAGCAGCTGCCACTGTAATATCCACCCCCTGCACAGGGTGAGATCCAGACCCTCTCCTCCTCTCCTCAGCATTCTACACTCTCACAGAGACACAAGTCTTAATCTTATTGTGGTACATCACCAACTATTTCAAATAACAGTGGCAGCAGGGTGGACTCACGCTTGGATGGCCTCTGTGACAGATCCAATCTGGTTGACTTTGAGCAGGAGGCAGTTGCAGGCCTTCTCTTCAACAGCTCGCTCAATGCGCTTGGGGTTTGTCACTGTCAGGTCGTCTCCCACTATCTGAATGCCAACATTGGCCGTGAACTTGGACCAGGCCTCCCAGTCATCTTGGTCAAAGGGATCCTCAATGGAAACCACTGAATGGACAACAGAAGAGACAAGTCAAAGCTACCTTCCTCCCAATCCCCCTAAAATAGTAGAGATGCACCTGTGGTGTCTGCAACACCGGTGATGAGTCCCCATTGCCAAGCACAGTGGCTCACCTGGATAATCACGTACAAAGCTTTGATAGAGGTCACCCAGCTCATCTGCCGAAATGTAGCGGCTTGGGTCATCTGGGGACTTGAAGTCAAGGTCATATTTGCCATCTCGGTAGAACTCAGAGGCTGCCACATCCATACCGATGACAATCTTGTCTGTGTAGCCAGCCTTGTCAATAGCTTCCTTGAGGAGCTCCAGAGCTGGAAGGAAGAGAGTTGAAGTCAGCCTGTGCCAGAGAGCTCTGACTTCCAGCAGAAACTTTCCCTAGAAAGACCCTGTGAACAGGAGCCACTGCGAGTCTGATGGCTCAATGAGGGAGACAGAATGAAGCCTGGAGCAGAACAGAAACATGCTGAGGGGCTGTGGACGCCACATCTGAAAGGATAAAAGTATTGGGTGTAAAAAGGCCTTGGTCACAGCATTGCAGGCAGGGATATCCCGTTAACGTGTAACTCTCACCTTCACTGTTTTCCAGGATGTTAGGGGCAAATCCTCCCTCATCACCCACATTAGTAGCATCCTTGCCATACTTCTCCTTGATGACACTCTTGAGATTGTGATAGACTTCAGCCCCAATGCGCATGGCATCGCGGAAGCTTTCAGCTCCCACAGGTAGGATCATGAACTCCTGCATTGCCAATTTGTTGCCTGCGTGGGAACCTCCATTGATCACATTGAAAGCCTGGAAGAGTTTGTAAGTGAATTAGAGCTGAAGGAACCCATTTTGACAAGGCTCTCAGGTGGGTCACCATGTCTATTCATGATATACCACATCCCATAGAGTAACATAACACATCAGCTGCAGCATGTCAGACCAAAGCCACGTACAGCCTGGGATCCTCCTTCCAATAGTGGCAAACAACTAGAGAGGATTTTCCCACCTGTTTCCCTCTCAGAGTTCTCCCAAACTGTATGTATTTATCTGTGCATTCAGCAATGCTACATCAACCTCTCTTCTAGGAACTTTTTCCTCGACCCCAAGAAAATTTTAGCACCCACAGTATGCTTTGTGAGGGAGTTTCACAGTATAACTAGCCTTGTTTTGAACTGTGCCTCAGAGGGTTCACGTGATGCTCTCTGGTTCTTGCATTAAGAGTGAGTAGTGGTTGATCCTCAGTCAACCCCCACCACAACATCTGCTGTATCCTTCTCAGCTCCTATTTTCCACAAGGAAAACTCCTAGTTTACACAGCCCTTCCTTTTACAAAAGCTGGCCCACAATTTGATCTGTCTCTTATCCTTTCCTGAGCCTTTTCCAGTTCCCCTCTACCCCTGTGCAGGTGGGGAGGGCAGAGCCTTACACACCATTCCAGGAATAGGCATTCTGTTTGTGAGTCCTTCCCTGAGAAAGCTTGGGCATTGGTTTGCTTCCTGCAGTGCATTCGGCTGGTGTTTTGGTCCTATATCCCTTACTACTTTACCTCCTCTATCAAACACACTCTTTGAGGTATCTTTGGAAGTTTCTGAATTAGTATGTCAAGGATGGAGGATTCTTACTGGCACAGGAAGGATGAGATCGGAGTTGCCTGCCAGGTCAGCAATGTGCCGGTACAGGGGGACATCCTTCTCTGCAGCTCCTGCCTTGCACACAGCCAGTGAAACTCCCAGGATGGCATTGGCACCGAACTTGGCTGTGGGCAAAACCAAGAACTCACTGTGGTTCTCAGGTACTGCCTTTCTGCCCAGCAAGTGCCCTTGCCAGACCAGGCTACAACCCTCCCTCCACCCACTGTGATCTTTACTTCCCAGACCGAAATAAATAGCAAATTACATTTGTTCTCTGTGCCGTCCATCTCAAGCATCAGATTGTCTATCTTCTCTTGATCTACAACAGAGAGGCCCTGGAGGAAAGAAAGAGTTCCTGAGAAGGGGATGTTGAGAAGAGTTGTTGGCTCTGGCACATGAGAAAGGAGGTGTTGATGGAGAAGCTGGGGGTACATGGACCTTTTCAGCTTGTGGGGGAATATATACACATAAAGCTCTGGAAATTAGTATATAGTATATACTAATAGTATATAGCCTTGGTATATAGTCAGGTAAGGTAATCATGATGATGTTATTGCAGTGCAGCTTAGATGCACCCACATTGGATAAGGGATCAGCAGCAGCCCAGGCCGGTCACACAGAGTTCAGCACACAGCACTCATTTGAGGATTCATCCAGCTTTTTGGCAGCTTCCAGGGAGCTTTGTCATGCTATGGCTACATACAAGCTAGGCATAACAGTGCATGCTCAACCCCAAGAAAGCACACGTGAACTAGATGGAGCTGTTCCTGGGAATGAGCAAGGGAGCAGTGTTAAAGCCAATGTGGGGAGCCTTCTACCAGTACAGAAAGTTCTCAGGGCTGAGAAGAGCTGGGCTCTCAGTCAGACTCCTCAAAAGCTGCGTGGCTTTCAATGCATGACATCAACTCAACTCCCTTCAGAGCAGGTTCCATAAAGGACTTACAGATGTGACACCACAGATCTGGAAGTCCACAGACTGTGCTGGGGAGGGCTGCCAGACCTTGCGTGGGTACAGTCATTGCTCACCACACCATGAATGCTGGAGGAGAGGGAAGGATGAATGGGTGTGAGGATGCAGACGTGTGGACGAGATTAAGTGAGGAGCACATTTGAAAAAGGTAGAGAGCTCTATAGAAAGAAACGAGGGGACTGGCTAGGTGGTACAGATGCAGCAGTGGGCCAGGTAGGGTTAACTCCTTTCCACTCAGAGAAAAGATCTCTGTGGTTGCATACAGCCATGGAGGCAGGAAGAGTGTGCCTGGGTTCACAGAGAGCAGCACTACATCTGTCAACCCAGTGAGATGAAGAAAGGCAGAAACAGAGATCAGGTGGAAAGAGACGGAACAGAGTAAGCGTTCAATAAGGAAGAACAAAGAGAAATCCTTACAGAGCCCACGATAGCTGGGGCGACAGTGCTGTTGATATGATCCACGGCCTGCAGGACCCCTAAAGAAGGGAATAGACAGAGAAAGAAGGAGAGAGACAAAGGTTGAGGCAAAGAAGAGAATGAAGAGAGGGAGGGTAGAAGACCAATAGAAAGGCTGAGAGGGGGAAACGGGGAGGGAAGGTCGAGGCCTGACATTTCACTTGACACTGGATCAGTGCCTGGAAGGCTCCATGGAGGGCATGTCTCGTTAGTGGATGAGTGGTACCCTCTGGTGAAGCCCCATGTGTGGCAGCCCCAGGTACAGGGTGTGGAGCAGACACCTCCCCACCTTTTCCAAGGAAACGTGACTTGTCATTATCTCGTAGCTCCAGTGCTTCATAGATACCAGTGGATGCTCCGCTGGGAACCGCTGCTCGAAACATGCCTGAGGGACAGCAAAACGTGTGTATGAGTAGAGCAGAGGATTAAAAGGAAGGAAAGACCTCATGCATCTGTCTTTGTTCTACTTTAAGGAAAGGATAGAGCCACCCGCCTCTGCCAACAGATAGCCCCACTGGCTGGTTGCTCACGGTAGTCTTCTCAGAGGTGAACACCTCTCAGAGGAGGAATAGCAGAGAGTCTGACAGAAAGAAGTCCACCCAGTGTTTTCAGACTGGAAAACCTTGATCTCAGCCATGCAGAGGTCTGTGCCAGTCCCAGAACTATAAATGACATGCAGAAATTCCTTGTCCTGGTACTTCTGCCTGCATCCTTCCGACAGCCCTACTCACAGCTGTCGGAGGCTTCCTCCCTTTTGTCCAGGGCTGGATTTTTACCTCAGTGAAGGAGCAGGAGGTTGGAGGCCTACTCTGGTCACTCATACTACGCACATATCTCATCCCACCTAGCTTTCAACCAATACAGCTGCAGTTCTTCCAGATGAAATGCATAATTGCACACACATGATTGCACACGTCTCAGAAACAAATCTTCCCTCAACCTCAAGAGCGTGGCTGTGGAAGCATTTCCAAATGTGCCCCAGGAGTGAAAGCATAGCTGCAGAGAGCATTGTGTGGATAGGACAAAAAGATAAATATGTCTATTTTAATGAAACTAGCCGTCTCTGCTACAGTCAGACATGGGACAAGCCACACACACAGCTTTCAGCATTCACTATGCATGTCATGCAGGACCACAGGTAGACGCCAGGAGATCTATCTCCCTGGCCCGATGTCTCTGGTTGCTCACTGGAGAGCCTTCAGGGGAGATACTCCCTGCTCTCAGCTGCTGTGCAGATCCAGCCCCTTCAGCAAGACAGGATTTCCCCTTCATCTCTCATCTTCACCCCATACCTTTGTGTGTGTACAGGTCCACCTCCACAGTGGGGTTCCCACGAGAATCCAGGATCTCTCGGGCATGGATCCTCTCGACTGCCATGGTGACTCTGTGTAGAGGAGAGGAAAGGACATGCTAGTTCTGAGCTGTCCTGCAAGATCTCAGACCGCCCTTGGGACCTAGGGCTCACACTTCTAAGGTTTAGGCAGAGGAAAGGATGCTCAACAAAGATCTACATTAGGAGCTGAAGTTCAAACTCCAAGGAAATATAGGCTTGAGGAAATTTAGACTAGAGGGGAGATATGAAAAATGTGATCCAAAGCCCAGAAAGTGAGAAGCTATCCACATTCTCTTCAGGAACTGATGCTGAATCCCATCCCTTCACTACATATAACAAAGTAGGAGTTTTCCCTCTTGTCCCGTGTGGCAGCCACATGCCCCCTTTCCAGCACCTCTGACTTACAGGGGGCCACAGCACTAGGGGTTCTGGAGAGGGCACAGCCCTGGCACCAGGGTTCCCAGAAACTTTCATCTCCTCACAGGGATGAGAGATCCCTGCTGGGCCCTGGGCAGCGCCTGCCTTGGCCTTGCCTCACTCCTCTGCAGCTGGCACCCTGCAGGGCATGGCTGCAGTCCACACCAGGGACTGGGCCAGCCAAGCTGAGACTGAGCAGCCAGAGGCTATGGCACCTGATGAAGGAGAAGAACAGCTCTGAGCACAAGGGGAGGGAAATTGGGCAGGCTAAGATGCTGAGGCTGACCCCAGTTCATGGCCCCCACACACCAGAGGAATGTAGGCACAGAAGACCTTGAAGCCTCTCTGGCAGGGGTGTGTGAGGAGATCTGGCATTTTGGATGCACTCAGTGAAACCTGGGGTGGGAAACAGGCTTGAGGAGAGCAGTTTGAGAGAGGCATTTTTTGCTGAAATTCATTCCCGAGGTTCTCCACAAGAGGTCTGACCCCTTTCCTGATCTCCCTAGCTGGCCTTGCAAGTCTCCCTGCCTCCACCAGCAGGCAGTGGGGCAGTGCAGTGTAGGGAGCAGCCTTGCTGGGAGTGGGCAGCATCTGCTGACTGTCTGTTACTGCCACCCCTGCTTCGCTGGGCTTTCTGTCCCTGGCTCCCCAGCTTATTCATTCAAAGCAGAGCAGAGCTGGAACCACACAAGTGTGGAGTCCAGGCCCAGCGGCAAGCATGGTGCAGTTGGTGTTTTTTCTGGGCAGAATCATGCCTTGGGCTGCAGGCAAGGATGCAGCCGACATTGTCTCTCAGCACAGGTGTGTTTGTTGGGGGTGCTGCAAATAGGGCATCACAGCAAAGAGCAGGGCTAAGAAACAGGCTGGGGAAGCCAGTCAGTTCCCAGTCCCATGGCCTCTGGTACATGGAAATCATAGGGTTTGGGGAAATCACATTGCTCTGGAGTTTCAGCAAAAGCTTGCGATGCTGGGAAGGTTAAGTGGGGGGAAACCGGGGCTCTCTGGAACCTATGCAGGGCCCTCCACAGGGCCCATCTGGGTTGGGATCCCCCTCAGCCACACTGGCAGCACTTCTCATGCCATCTGGTCTGCACTGCAGGAGCTTCCTCCAGAGCCATGCCTGCACAGCTGTGAGCTTCTTCACAGCAGTGCCCTGGCCATACCCATTAAAATGACCTATGGCACAGCAGTCTGACAAGACCTGCGCCAGATGCAGTGCTTACGTGATCATGTTGGCCCTGGTTACGTCCCTCTGCTTGCATCCACCTATCCCTGTTTGAGCCAGCTCCAAGGATGCCAGATGACGAGCCTAAACCTAACCTAGCTGGCTCCATCCCATCATTTACTGGATCTCTTCATTCCTCTTTAGTTCTCTACACCCTTTTCTCCACTTCTGCAGTTTCTCCATGTCCCTCTCTGCTTGGCCTCTGCTGAACCACTCTAAAATCCCTAGCATCAGCTGCACTGTCCTGAAAGCAGGTCAGAGGCGGATAAGCTGGGATAAAGGATTGGGACAGAGCCTCAGTTGGAAACCCATTGACACAGTGAGAAGAAGAGCAGCCAGGCTGGAGGCTGGGCTGCCTCTCTCAAGCAGGGGCTGAGCAGGGTACTCTGGCATGGCGCTGCTGCAGTGCCTCCCACGGGCACCGCTTCATGCAGCACAATCCGCCAGGGCACTGCCTGACCCTGCTGCAGCAATCCCCCCTCCCTTCCTAGCAGGACAGCACTGCAGAGACCTTTCCCCAGGGCACAGCCACCAGCCCTGCATGCTGGGGCCCCGGTGCAGCTGCCACCCCCCCGGCTAGGCACTGCTCCTAAGGAAGCCCGCACTGCTGCAGTGTCGTGGCTGATGCAGCTCTCGCTTGCTTGACTGTCACCTCCTCTCCCTGCTGCCCCCCCTCACCCTGTGCGGTGTGGGGCGGTGATAAGAAAACATCCCTCCTCCTCCCTCCTTCTCCCTGGGACTGGGCTTCGCTCTCGTGTTTGCGTCGACACATCAGTAGTTTGGGAGAGGTCTGCTCCGAGGTTGGGTCCTTTCCCCAGCAAAATCCAGTGAGCTTTACCTCACACCACCGCCAGCCCCCTCCCCCAGGTAAAGCTCCATCTCAGCGTCTCCCCGCAGTGCCCTTGGCAGCAGCACCTATGCTTGTCGGTTGCCCCCCCTTTTGAAATTCCCCAGACTCATATCTGAAATCATCCTTGCCGGGGATTGGGAAGGAGGGAGTACCTGAAATTAAAATATGAAAGAAAAGTGAGAAGGGTGGGGGTGAGGAGAAAGGGGTGGGAGGAGCAGGTGGAGGAAGTGAGGGCAGTTTAATTGCTAACGCCGCTCACAACGGTCCTTTTCTATAGGGACACAAGTGCGTGTAGGGTTTGGAGGGCACGGAGCGGGGAGCAGAGGCACGCATGCAGTGAGGGGGAGGGCTGGCCACGGGGAGACACTTACCTTCCTAGAGCAGGGGTGAACGAGAGACTGAGAAAGTGCTGGTAGAGAGGAGAGAGGACGGAGCTGAGTAGGGATGCAGGACCTCAAGGGGAGATGATGTGTCCTCTAAGCCAACGGCGGCGGCGGCGGCAGCAGGATGGAGACGCCCCTGATAGGGCCGGGACAGCAGCATGTGACCCAAAGCTGCGATGAGTCAGGATTTAGCAAAGCTTTGCAAACAGCACGTAGGGGATGGAGAGAAAGAGAGAGAGAGAGAGAGACAGACAGGGGACAGACACAGACAGAAGAGGGCGAGAGAGCTAGGGAACAGGAGTGGGTGGGCAGGATAAACAATTACAGACATTCCAGGTTCGTTAAGTATTTTTATCCAAATAAGAAAATTATAAATCAAACCACGCAACTTGTAACCCCCCTTTTCCCTCCTGGGACTACTTTGAGTATGTACGTGCAGAGACTGTAAAAACACTGCAGTAACTGAAGGCAGCATCCAGGACACTCCTCTCTTCTTCAGGCAAAATGAGGTGAACCTCATACCTATAGCTCTTGCTTTGCACATGGGAAGATGCATCCCCAAATCTTCACAAGGAACAGGGATTTAAACCAGAGGTCACTCGATACATCACCTTGGGGAGATACCTCCATTTCCTGAAGAAGGAAAGAGGGAGAAGTTAAATGACTCCATGCCTGACTTCTTTTTCACCTCTCACTTGTGTTGCTGGGGCCAGGGATGGCAATCAGACTGTAAAGCCTGTTTTCAGCTGCATGCAGCTCTGCCCTTGGGACCTGACCTCCCTCAGCCATTTTTTCATTCGATTCACAGGAGGAGGGGCTTACCAGCACATCTGACCTTATGTTTTTCAATTTACTGTTCATACCTTTTCCTCTTCCTGCCTTTTCTAACGGATTTCATTTGCCTCTGCATGCTAATTTTTCTCAACTGGTTCCTTGTCGAGGCGCTTCAGGTGTGGCAGCTGGGCCAGGACCTCCTGCTGGTAGTTTGTTTCATCAGAGCATGGATTCTCCATCAGCACCAGGGCCTGCAGCACGGGGAGCACCTGCAGTTTTGCCACTTCCTGCAAGCTACTGATCCCATTGTTCCTAAAGAAAAATCAGCACAATGTGCAGGAGAAAGAGATCTATATAAGTCCTAACAATAAGGATTTCTTTCTGTTCAAACAGTGTGTTGAACAGTCTGATAATGCCACCCCTGTACAGCAAGTGCTTGGAAGAAAAGGACACTGGTGGTCATGGCCAGGACACAGAGGGGTGGAAAAAGAGTTACAGCAAGATATAAAAAGTATGGTGTGGAGTCTGAGAGCAACTGGAGAGGCAGATCTTTTCCGAGAAGCTTGGAAAAGTCTGGGTTGGGAAACTGGTAGAAAACTGAGCCCTGAACACCAATTAAAAGCTGTAAAGATCAATCCAACCCGTTCCCATCAGGCTTCAGCTTCTAGAGAAAACAGAAAATCCTAAAGATGTAAATGGGAGTATAGCCTGATGAATTGGTGTCTAGTCCTGACAAGAAGCAGGGAGGACCTACCGTAGATTGAGGTACTGCAGGCACTTCATGCTGCTAGAGAATCCATCCAGAGTCTGAAGCTCATTGTCACGCAGGTGCAGAGTTGACAACTGCTCTAGTGCCTCAAGGCCTTCGAGGCTCCTAATGGTATTCTGGGCCTAAGCAGGGACATAGGAAGTGAGAATGAAAAAAAGGCACACATGGCAAAGGGAACAGCAGTTATTTCTGTTCTGCCAAGCTCTTTCTACTCTTCAGACTTCCTACCTCTGCTAAGCAATCTTCTCTGAAGCAGGACATCATACACACATAACAATGTAGGGAGGCTACCTGGCAGTGACAGATAGTATGGTCAGAAGCCAAACCAGAAATTGCACTGGGATTTTAGAGATAGGGGACAGAACACCTTGAGAACATGTCTGCAGCTCTAGCTTGTACCTCTGATCAGGACTCTGCTTAGACTCATAAAGAGTTAGATGGGAAAGGACTTTTGGAAGTCTCCATGCAGCATCCTGCTTGCAGCCAGGCTAACTACCATGTTAGCCTGGTTGCAAGCAGGATGCTCAGGGCCTTACTAAAAGAGTTCTGAGTATTCAGATTCAAGAAGCAAATGCCTGCTAAAAAGAGTTCCCTGCAGCATCACTTAGTGGCTGGGACATGACCGCCCCAGATGAGTAATTCCAACACAGCCTCTAGTTACGCAGGGATGCAGACATGCCACGATTCAAATTTACCAGAGCATGCCATCTGAGCCACCTGCTGTACTTCCAGCAAAACAGCCCTTCCACAGCAGTGCCTCATCTGAGCCCCTAAGGCCTCAAAGAGTGTCAGTGTGGAACAGAAAGCAAAGAGCTAAGTCAAGTTTATTTAAAGGATAATTATCTGCTCCTCTCAGTCATAAAGTCCAGCAAACTTCCAGTTTAGCTGCTTCTTTTATAGGAGAAATCTACTACCAAGAAGTCTTCTCTTCTGCTCCTCTATGACCAGAAGCAGGCTGCATGATCCTGACAGAGGCTGCAGAGAAGTGGGGGTTGTCACTTGGTTTAAGAGCTTCTTAGTACAATATTTATTAGCTATCCATAAGTCTTGCAAATAAATAAACAAATAAATAACACTGACAAGCTTAGGGCAGGAAGAATATCTTACCAGTTCAAAATTCCCTATCTATTTCTTTCACCTTGGTGTGAACAGTTGTGAGATGGGGAAACACAAAGTTCTTACATTCAGTAATAGTTTCACAGCACAATTTTGACTAGAAAATTCCACTCAAAGCCTCCTGTCCATCCCTGGATTAACAGCAGTGCTAGCACCAAAACTGGATCTGATTGCTCATGGCCTTGTGCAGCCAAGTTTGCAAAATCCCTGGCAACTACGTTATCCCTACCGCATCTTTCAACCCAGAGATAAGCAGGACTTCACTCGTGATTGTGGCTTAGGGTTATAGTTTCTAAGGATGCAGATACATGAACAGGGAGAGAGGCTCCCATCACAGTTTCAACTGACATAGAGCTAATGTTCTCCATAGTAGCTGTCACAGTGCCATGTTTTGATTTGAGGATGAGAATAATGTTGATAACACTCCAATGTTTTAACTGTTGCTGAGCAGCTCTGCGCAGACACATCTCAGCTTCTCACAGCATCCTACCAGTGAGGAGCCTGAGGGGCACAAGGAGCTGTGAGGGCAGAACCAGGACAGTCCCAAACTGGCTAAAGGGATATCCAACACCATCTGGCATCACACTGAACTATCACATGGGAGGAGTTGGTCAAGGTGTGCTCCTGCTGCTCAGGGACTGGCTGGGCATTCAGGGAGTGATGAGAAATTGCATTATGCAACACTTTCTTTGTGGGTTTTTGGGTTTTTTTTGTTCATTCCCTATTCTGTCCTATAAAACTATTTTTTATCTAAAACCACAAGTTTTACTTTTTCCCCCCAATTCTCTCCCCCATCCTACCAGGGAGAACACTGTGTGGTGCTTAGCTGCCTGCTAGGCTAACCCACAACGGTGCCACTGCACTCTCTGTTCCTTTTTTGTTACTCAAGCAGTGATGTAGTCAATGCCAAAATTGATGTAGTCAAATGCAGTGATGTAGTCAAATCTAATAAAAGGAGAAGAGTCTCAACTGGTGGGACAGGAGAGCAGTTAAGGGCAGGCTCACTTATGAAAAGAATATTTTGTAGAAAATGAAGACTGCATTGGAAACTGGGCAAAGGAGACTCGGAAGCAAAAGGGCCAAGAAGGTCTGAGAAAAAGAGGAAAGTCTGAGACTTAGCGAAGGTCCTGTAAACAAATTTAAAAAGCCAGGATAGATTTGTATACCTCACTTCAGAGGAAATCAGGAGCTGACATCGGAATGAAAGTGGGGAGCTCACAGACCACTAGTCTGTGAAATGAGTAGCAACCTACTATCACTCCCACTTGCTCGGTTACGCCAGTGAACAGTTTTAAAGGCTCCAGCCATGCAAGTGCTAACAGGACGATGCAGATCAGATTTTTGAACAGATTATTATTCTTCCTTTTTTTCTGAACTCAAGGAGCACTCAAAATGACACCTTTATTTTAATGATCACATCATCACCTCGCCTTCTATAACGATTCCTCACATACACATGAAGCCATCATTTCTTAGTGCAAGCTATACAACATGTTGCCCATGCTGTAGCTAGCCTTTGTCAGCAGTACTGCATAATGAACAGGAAGTAACACACTCCTACACTTCGGACAGCAGTGAACCTAAAATGGATGCCGACTGAAGCACCACATGGTTCACAATCAGCCTCTGGTTTTCCCGCTGGTGGGCAGAACTTTGTGAATACTGAAACGATGTCATATATTAACCAAATCTGATTCAGTTACTTTAAGCTGACCTTTGAATTCCTATTTGATGGGTGCACTGAACCCTGTCCTTGCAACATCAGCTTTACCTACCTATGGCTCAAGTAACACCGACACGTTTCTACAGAAAGCAAAGTAGTACTGGGAGAGATCCCCCTCCAAAATGATTTGATAAGCAGGTAGACATGGGGAACAAATCAAGCTCACATTTCTGAGACATTAATCGGTAGTTCTAGTTTTAATAATTTTGTCCTGCAGTTTGCCTGCTTCAGATGCATGGCTCAGGAATTCTTCAATTATGTTTCTTACTTTAAATAAAGGTGTTGCTTTGGTTTAACTCAGTCACCTGCTAACATGGCTTGTTTTACTTAGCAATTCTATATTGTGCCTAGAGACTTATCCACTTCATCCCTTCTTCCAGCACCAGTAGTCCTAAGAGTTCAGCTCTATACCAGAAAATAGCAGACAACCTCAGACAACAGTCTCCCCAGTGCTTTCTGCCAGGGAGTACTGATGAAAAGAAACCCTGTAGCTTTTATCATCTTTAATTGCTTTTCCAGAGGTAACGACTCAGGATCACTATCAAGTCTTTGCGAGCAATAGTACTGTGTGATTCATGGGAGTAAGCCAACATACTTTCTTCATTTGTGTCTCAAGCAGTAAATGGTCCCTAAGCAACTGCTCACAGTAGAAGAAAATTGCTTCTTCTTAGTTTCAACTGAGATATTCAATCAGGTTTTTTTGGCAGCCCAAGACGTGAATCATATCTCTGTGCTGCTATACCCATACTCAATTAGGCCCATCAGAGAGGAGAAAGAGCTGCTGGCAATAGGTTTTGGGTTAGATAGAGACCTCAAATATGTAACTGTACACATGGAAGTGCGCATCAAATAGGCAGAAAGTTATTTCATATTATTATTAACTGACAAGTGGGCCCAGAGGAGGGCCACAAAGATGATCAGAGTGCTGGAGCACCTTCTCTATGAGGATAGGCTGAGAGAGTGGGAGCTCTTGAACCTGGAGAAGAAAAGGTTCCGGGGGGACCTCATAGCAGGCTTCCAGTATCTGAAGGGAGCCTATAGGAAAACTGGGGAGAGACTTTTTAGAAGGGTTGGTAGTGATGGGATGAGGGGAAATGGCTTTAAAATGGAAGACGGTAGATGTAGACTAGGTACTAGGAAGAAATTCCTTACTGTGAAGGTGGTGAAATGCTGGAGCAGGTTGCCCAGGAAGGTTGTGGATGCCCTCTTCCTAGAGGTGTTCAAGGCCAGGCTGGACAGGGCTTTGAGCAACCTGGTCTAGTGGGAGATGTCCCTGCCTATAGTAGGGGGGTTGGAACAAAAAGATCTTAAAGGTCACTTCCAATCCAAACCATTCACATTCTATGATCACCTTCCTGTGTGTAATCCAGAGAACACCTACTGCTTTCCCCACTGACATTCACATTCCTGGAAGACATGGAGTGTGATCTTGCCTAATGCTGCCAGGGAGAGAACACTGTTCTCCCTTAGGTGCCTGCAAAGGGAGAATGCAACATACCAAGCACTGCCAATCTCCCTGCTCTCTGCAGAACAATTACTGGTTACTTGCTACTGCCTTTGCACTATTTGAACAGATATCATAGAAGGATCTACCCCAACGGAGAGACCCTTGCTTCTTTAGCTCTCTGAAATCTGTTCCTTTCAGGCTGTGAAGATTGAACTAAATAGGTTAGTGTGTACACTATGACGTCTGGAATGGGATAGTGTCTTCTCTACACCCACTGACTGAAGATGCCAACCTCTGCAGCATCTCAGTCCCACTTCCCAAGCTGGCTGATCCCTTACCAGATAGAGATTCTTGAGTTTGGGAAGGCAAAGCCCTGCTGTGCTCTCTAGCTTGTTTCCTCGCAGCTCCAGTATACGCAGGCTATACAGTGCTTGATTCAGACCCAGTGCTGTCTGGATTTTATTTCCTGAGTGCCACAGGACAAAGAAATAATGACAGTTAATACCACTCAAAGAGAGTTTTCTATGTACACAGCAATGAAGACAGTAGTTTGTACCACCTTTAAGGCTGAGGCTGGCTAAGTGGGGGTGAGTAATGCCCTTCATATTCTTGATGCGGTTGTGAGCAAAGCTGATGATCTGGAGGTAGGGAAGCTCCTGCATGTGGGCACTGGTAAGCAGATTCCCATCCACCTTCAGCCAAAGCAGGTGGGTTAGGCTGCTCAGTGGAGACAAATCTTGCAGCTTGTTCTCTGACAAATCCACATACCGCAGGTGAATGAAACGTTCAAGGAGGCTGATGTCTGTCAAGTCCCTGTGGAAGGGAAAAAGCGAATAAAACACCTCTCACTTCCTCCCCTGCTATCAGCCTTCAGTTTGCTTCTCACTATGGTGGGAGGGAGGGCCCCCTCCTCTCCCATCTCCCTCCTGTCCTACAAAGCCTTGTGTGAAGGAGGAAAAAGGCAGGCAATAGGGATGGGCCAAAGATGCTGTAAGCAAGGCTGAATGCCAAGGGGAGGACCTTCCTTCTGGCACAGACAGTACTTCTTCCCATTGAACTGTAGCTGTCAGGAGAGGGAAGAACCAGAGTAGAAAGAAGGCAAGCCTGGGGGGAGTGGGAGGGGGTAGAGTGTCTTTTAGACAGCAGGGGCAACCCAAGGCTGTGTGTAATGACTTTCCTAGCCAGGAAAAGCCAGTAGTCACCTAGACTGGCCTTACTTTGTGAGGCCTGCTATGTCTAGAGCTCTTTGGGGGTACTGATGGGGCTGAGGCTCCAAACTCCTGTGACAACTGTGGCATTGTACTTTTAAGTGTGTATGTTAATCAGTTATATGCAGAGATGCTTAATGGATGTTTCTTGGACTGTCTGTAGTGAAGGTGTCCTCCTCAGGTCCCCTTGGGAGATCAAAATCAGAGCACCCGAGAAGCTCCCACTAGCCCAGGGGTCACTACTCTGCCCCACAGATCCACATCTCTGGCTACAGTGGAGGTGGTCCCCAGTTCAGGCCTTGCCTGGAAGCAAGGCAGTTGGAGAATGTGCCCTGTGACACTCCTGCCCCACAGTCCAGTCACTGGTGGCCTTAGGTGCGGCCCCTGGACGGCTACACAGACACATTAGGAAGAGGATCTCTTCTCCTGCATGTGCGTTGCACACTCACTTATACTTGGCTTCAAACTTCACATAAGCGTGCGCCAGGCCGTTGCCAATTTTGCAGAGGAGGGAGAGGCCCTCCTTCAGCACCTCCTCCGTCAGGGGACATGCGGCCGGCACCTGGGGGAAGAGAGCCCAGCACAGGTGAAATGGCGGACGGAGGGGGGGGGGGATACAAGGCCAGCTGCCCCCGCCTGCCTCCTCACCTGCTTCTCCTCCTCCTCCTCTTCCAACAGCGCCTTCTCTTCCTCGCCATCCTCCCCCCCCTCATGGCCGACGAACTCCTCCTCCGCGCTCAGCCCCCCGCCCTCCATCTCGCCCCGCTCCCGACGGCAGCCAGGCCTCACTGCGCCCCGTGCCCGCCAGGCCGCGCCGCTGCCATGGGAACGGGGGCGGGTCCCGGCGCTGCTACCACACAGCCGCGCTGACGGGCAGTTCCGGTCTCCCCGGTTCCCGTATGTTCCAGGCCGCGTTCCGGTTCGCGCCGAGTCGGTATCGGAACCGCTGTAGGACTGAGTGCGGAGTTGTGCCGGCAGCCGCCTCGGGTCTCCGACGGCCGAGGCCCGGCCCGAGAGACGTGGGGTGAGGCCGCTGGCACAGCGCGGTGTGCGGAGCTGCGTGTTGGCCGTCCGCGCTGATGTGCGTGTGTGATGCGTGCCTGTGCTCGGAGTGCCGGCTCTTCCTGGCCCCCGGCCTGGGCACAGGGCTGCACGGGCTCGGTGAGGCTATCTCGGCTCATTGCCCTCAGCAGCGACACGGTTAAGGTCCAGCCCCTGCAGTTCTCATTGAGGGTGAGGAGCTGGCAGTGATCCTGCTCCGTGCAGCTATGGTCCCTCCTGCCAGAAAGCAGAGAAAAAGAAGAGAGCCACAACGTTCCTGCTGATGCAGCGATTATTGCCCGCTTCGTTCCTCACTAAATGAGTGGTTCTGCGCTTCTGCGTTCTCCTGTTCTACAGCAAGCGTGGTGCACATCTCCCATCTGTTTTTCCTGTGTAGGTCACTCTCCCTGTCCCTTGCAGAGCTGCTCTCCAGGCAGCGCTGGACAGCAGAGCTGGCAGTAGTGCTACAGCCTGGGCCCGTCCAATCCAAGGCACAGTTCCACCTCTGCAAGTCACTGCTGCTCTGACAGTGCTGTGTAGGACCAAACTAAGGCCATGCCCCAGGAGCCTTTCAAACACTTTGCTTGCAGAAGCCACGGATCTTAGGATCTTTTTCCTCTCCGTTTTAACTTTTGAAACATCTTTTCTGCACACCTCTCTCCAGGCACCTGGCCACTACATGCTCTATCTCCACCAGCACCCCCTCCTTTCCTCCTCAGGCCAACTTTCCTACTTGATGGGATTCTCACCGGCCAGACAACCTCACCAACTAATTTAGGATTATTACTACCTCACAACAGCAGTTTTACCAGCTTGCTTCACACCAGCCTGCAGCTATTGCTCACACTTGTGCCGGCTCACCTAGCCAGCAGCCACCACCAGGGTGACAGTGGCAGGAAGATCCACTTATTAGTGGGACAGCCAGGTGCTCCTGCAGCTACTGAAATGTACTGCAGTGCATTAATCGTCACAGAACCGAAGAGGAACTGCAACAGTAAATAAAGGTTCTCTGGGCTATGTTCTAGGTGAGAACTACAGTGAGAAGACACACGTTGCACTTGTGCAATGCTTGTTGGAGCAACAAGGAAATGGAGGGGTATAAGAAGAAAAAAAAAAAACATAACCAAACCAACAATACATTCACCCCCCCAAAACTTCACAAAGACAGAACACCCAAACATACTGCCCTCTATGCAGCTAGCTCTCCCCAAAGTACTCCAGCTCATCTGTTTACACCTTGCCCTTAACTGCCTCTGAATAAGAAACAGGACACACTTTTTTCCTTTTCATTTATTGTTCAATACAGGACATTGGTGAGGTAAGGTGTCTCACAAGGGTCTAAGCTGCCAGGCTCCTTGCAGATGGAGCTGAAGGATGCAGAAGATGATGGTTCCTTTTTCCTCCCCTCAGTACTAGTGGCCCTCCCTCCCTGCAGGGCTGCAAAGAGAGAGAGGCAATGGCCAAGTTGACTGTGGGCTCTAACAGCTCAACAGATAACCAAGGATTTTGCCAGTTCAGAAAGGAGACTCTGCTGAGATGGGCTCACACTAATGGGACTCCAACGAGGTGATGGGAGTTAGCAGCACAGCTAGAACAATGATTGTGGTGGTGGGGGAAAGCCTCAGAAGAAGCCTCTGTACCGAGACACGTGCAACAAAAGGTCCCTTCTTGCTTCAGTTTCTTGCTCTTAACCGTAAGGGACTGCTCCTCACAGGCTGCTTTAATGTTTTGCATTGATAATATCCACAAACTCTGGCTTGAGAGAAGCCCCACCAACAAGGAAGCCATCTACATCATGCTGAGAGGCCAGTTCCTTACAGTTGGCACCAGTGACTGAACCTGAAGAGGGAACAGGATTAAGAGTTCAGATGTGGCAAACCCAAAATGGCAATAACACAGAGATAAACCTGCAAGGTACTAGCCACCTCTTATTCTGTAAATTATGAGGCCATCTCCCATTCACCTAAAAAAGCTAGTAAGTGGTTCTTCATGCCCTGCTCGTCTCATGTTTCCTCATCAGCAGAGCAAAGCATGCTGTACAACAGCAGCAAGCAAATAAATAAATAAAGTTCAGCCTCAAAGAAACTACAGACTCATTTACCTCCATAGATAATCCTAGTTGACTGAGCAACAGCATCAGACACATGGCTTTTGAGCCAGCCCCTCAGCTTCTCATGAACTTCCTGAGCCTGCAATGAAACAGAAATAGGAACTGGTCTGAACCATCCTGCCTACAACTCCCTTCCAAAGAAGGAACTGCCTTGTTCCATCTTCAGGGAGACCTCTCGAGCAAGGTCAGACAGCCATTTTATCAGCCACCTTTTCCTTGCTAATACCTGTTGGGGAGTAGCAGTTTTGCCAGTTCCAATAGCCCAAACTGGCTCATAGGCAAGAACCACCTTATGCCAGTCCTTCACGTTATCTGAGGGGAGAGAAGAAAGTATACATGATTACAATACCTCATGTTGGGAAGGGTAGATCTGGAAAGTTTCCTGGAACATGCAGACCTTTTAATAACATGACCACTGTTCATTAACATTTGTAGCAATATCTTTGAAAGCCTTCAAGGAAGGCCAGGAACAGACATCTATGGCCAAAATGGCCATTTCCCAGCTGTCCAAAGAAAAAAGTCAATTTTCTTCCCTTACCAGCAATAGCTTTGGTCTGTTCAAAGACCACCTTCTCCGTGATGCCAGCTTCTCTCTCATCCAGCTTCTCCCCAATGCAGGCAATGACACCAAGGCCCTCAGCAAGAGCATGAGCCACCTTCTGCCCAATCAACTGGGGATGGAAGAGAAATAAGGTAAGTGGCAGTCAGACCTCCTCCTGTACCTACCTTTCCCATAAACTGCTCACTCCTCCAGCCTTCACAGAATTATGTGTTTGGTACCATCTCTCCACTCCAGAGTCTCTCACCTCATCAGACTCTCCAAAAACATGTCTCCGCTCTGAGTGGCCCAGGATAACCCATGCAGCTCCAATATCTTTGATCATTGCTGGACTGATGAGAAAGCAGATGAAGGTATTGACTCACATCTCCACAGAAAATTCACTTTGCAAAGCAATGCTGGCTTAAATCTTCACTTTGGACTCACCTGATCTCTCCTGTGAAAGCACCCTTTGGTACCTTGTAACAGTTTTGTGCTGCAACTCCAATCTTCGCATCAAGCTTCTGGCGGGCAAAATCAAGGTAGATTGAAGGGGCTCCACAAACAACCTCTGTAAGGCAGAAGGGTCACCCATCAGAAGGCCAAAGGATAGAAACCACACACAACCTTTGGCCCTGTGGCCCAGCCCTGAGAGGCTACCCTTCCCCCTCCCCCACTTGGTGGAGGCCCATCCTGTCCTCGCTGACATTTGGGGGACCCACAGAATAGGAACATCCTCCCTACTATCTGATGACTCGACAGCAGAGGGGAAACTCATTCCAGGGGTCAGAAAGGGGGGAGTCGAGCAGAGAGCCAGGCTCCCAGCCAGTTCACATCGGGTCCCTTGGAAACATCCCAGCCGAGAAACCGGGCAGGAATCTTGTCCGGCCTCAAGGCTGAACCGGGGAGAAAAGGGCAGCGTCGGGTTACACGTGGATTTCAGCCGGGCATCAGCTAGGCACGCCGCTGGAACCCGCTCCACAGCGCGGTGACCTCAGCCCAAATATCGCGCCCCCGAACCCTGGCGCAGGGTAGGGCGGCAGGCCGCGGCCGCAGGGACGAGGCCTCGGGGACAGGAGCTCCACGCGAGGGAGAGCCCGGAGAGCCCCACCGCCCGCCGCAGGCTCTTCTCACCGGGCCGGGCCCGCAGATCCCCGCCGGCCCGGTGGACGGAGACCGCCCGCATCCGGCGGTGGGGGGGATGCGGTGCCCTTCAGCGGCCGGGATCCGGTGTCGCGGTATTTTTAGCCCCGCCGCGGGGTTAAGTTTCGGCCCCGCCGCCCCCTGACATTTCCCGTGCCCCGGCCGGGCCCCACCGCGCGGGACGTGAGCTACGTGCGGCCGCGGCCGCGCCCTCCCTCACCGGTGTCGGCCGAGAGCTTGGCGCCATTCAGCGTGTGGATGAGCTCGCCCAAGCTCTTCTTGTCGCCGTTCATCTTCCAGTTGCCACCCACGAAGAACTTCCTGGGAGCCATGGCGGAGGCGACGGGCGACAACCACCAGCGACACAGACGAAGGTCGGCGACAGCACGCAGCCTGCGGCGGCCGGTTTTATAAGCCGGCAGGGCGCGAGGCCCCGCCCCCTGGTAGCCCCGCCTCCCTGTAGCTCCCCCACCCCTCCGGGGCCTCGACAGGCGGGTGGCCTGCGCTTGGAGATGCCTGCGGCGGCTCCTCAGAAACTGCGATGAGCGCGGGGCCCGCACGGAAGCTCCGCGCCCCTCCCGCAAGAGACCCACGCCATCTCCCTTCTCCATACGGAAGCTCGTACCGCGGCAGTGCCCGAATTTCGGCTCGCGGGGCCCCGGCTACACAGAACACGTCAACCGGGACTTATTTCGACTTTTATTTTGTCCCTCGTGTATTTTGGCATGTGAAGGGCACGCAGGGAGGGGGCACCGCTCACGGCCCGCGCTGCTTCCCGTGCTGCCCCCTCGCTGGGAGGACAGGCAGAAAGCGCCGCCCGAGCCACACGCACGCACGTGCCCTGCCCCTGCGGGAAGCAAGGAGCTGCCGTCCCCCCAGCAGCAAAGCCAAGGGCTGCGCAGCGGGGTGCGGGTAGTGAAGGTA